AGGGCCTAGCCCAATGTGGGTGGAGCTGGTGATCCTGGGTTCTCTAAGAAAGCAGGCTGCGCACACCAGGGGAGCAAGCCAGTAAACAGCACCCCTCCATGGTCTCTGCATCACCTCCTCCATCCAGATTCCTGCCCTGTTGAGTTCCTGTTCTGACTCCCTTCAGTGATGAGCAGCAATGTGAAAGTGTAAGCCAAATAACCCTTTCCTCCCCAACTTGCTTTTTGGTCATGGTGTTTCATCGCTGCAATAGAAACCCTACCTAGGACTGCTAGATTGACATAAATTAGTCATTGTCATTTTGTTCATTTGTTTTATAATTTATTTATTTTTAAGTCATGTGTGTTGTTTCTTGCCTATGCGTAGGTATGCATGAGGGTGTGAGATCCCATGGAACAGGATTTAGACAGTTGTGAGCTGCCATGTGGATGCTGGGAATTGAACTCAGGCCCTTTGGAAGAACAGCAGTGCTCTTAACCCCTGAGGCACCCCTCCAGCCCCTAGCCTTTGTTTCTTTTCTTTTTTTTTCCCTCAATATGTATTTTTAAAATTAGAAACATGCATGCTTCACATGTCAATCTCAGCTCCCTCTCCCACCCCTCCTCCCGTGTCCCTCCACCAGCCCCCCTCTAGCCTTCAACCCAGTCCCCACTTCATTCCCCAGGGAGGGTGAGACCCTCCTTGGGGGGGATCTCCAGAGTCTGTCATTTCATCCAGGGCAGGACCTAGGCTCTTCCCCATGTGTCCAGGCTGAGAGAACATCCCTCCATGTGGAATGGACTCCTAAAGTTCATTCGTACGCAGTAGATCAGTGTTTACCTAGTCTTTGTTTTTAAAGTGCTCATACAGAAGAATATATGAGTCTTCGAAATAAATAATCTAGAATCTGCTATCAGAACAAGTTTGTCTTTGGTGAATGGAAATTTATCTTATATTTATTCAATGGTTCCTCCTTTTGATTTCAGTTATTTACAAACAACATATTATCACATACAACAATAGGAAAGTTTGTGCCCATTTGGATTTTGATGACATTCTAACTGAAACATCTTACAATCTGCATAGTGAATGTCTTAGTTTGTTCCTCTGTTGCTGTGGTAAAACACCAACAAAATACTACTTGGGAAGGAAAGGGTTAACTTTAACTTCAGGCTTTAGGGAAAGCAGGGCAGAAGTCAAAGCAGGAAGTGAAGCAGAGACCATGGAGGAACATCACTAACTGACTTGTCTTTCTGGATCGATTATTAGATAAATTCTTTTTTTTTCTTTTTTAATTTAAATTAGAAACAAGCTTGCTTGACATGTCAATCCCAGCTCCCTCTCACTCCCATCCTCCCCCAAGCCCCACCCAATCCCCACTCCACTCTCAAGGGAGGGTGAAGCCCTTCATGGGGGAACCTCCAAAGTCTGCGATATCATCCCAAGCAGGGCCTAGGCCCTCCTCCATGTGTACAGGCTGAGAGAGCATCCCACCATGTGGGATGGGCACATAAAGTCCATTTGGATGCCAGGGATAAATATTAATCTAGTACCCGAGGCCCTAAAGATTACCCAGGCCTCCTCACTGACATCCATGTATAGGGACCTAGATCAGTCTCATGCTGGTCACTCAGCCATCAGTCTGGGGTGCATAAGCTCCCCCTTGTTCAGGTCAGCTGTTTCTGTGGGTTGCACCCACCTGGTCTTGACCCATTTGCTCATCACTCCTCCCTTTCTGCAAGTGGTTTCCATGAGTTCAGTTCAGTGGTTAGGTGTGAGTGCCTGCCTCTGCTTCCATCAGCCACTGGATGAGTTGAGTTTCTCTCCATTTAGTTTGATGTTGGATGTTGGTTTAGTGTATATTACTTTTATTATTTTCAGGTGTGTTCCTGTTATCCCAGGGCCTTTGTCATGAAGGGGTGCTGGATTTTGTCAAAGGCTTTTTCAGTATCAAGTTAGATGATCATATGGTTTTTCTTTTGCAGTTTGTTTATATGGTGGATTACATTGATAGATTTTCATCTGTTGAACCATCCCTGTATCCCTGGGATGAAGCCTACTTGATTATGGTGGATGATTTTTCTGATGTGTCCTTGGATTGGATTTGCTAGTAATTTATTGAGTATTTTTGCAACAATGTTCATGAGGGATATTGGTCTCTAGTTCTCTTTCTTAGTTGTGCCTTTGTGTGGCATGGGTACCAAAGTAATTGTAGCCTCGTAAAAAGAGTTTGGCAGTGAGCCTCCTGCTTCTATTGTGTGGAATACTTTGAGGATTATTGGTCTTAGCTGCTTTTTGAATTTCTGGTAGAATTCAGAACTGAAGCCATCTGGGCCTCGGCCTTTTTTGGTTGGGAGACTTTTGATGTCTGCTTCTATTTTTAGGGGTTATATGTCTGTTTAAATTACTTATCTATTCTTGATTTAATTTTGGTAAGTGATACCTATTCAGAAAATTGTCCATTTCCTTTAAATTTTAGAATTTTGTGGAGTACAGGTTTTCAAAGTATGACCTGAAGATTCTCTGGATTTCCTCAGTGTCTGTTGTTATGTCCCCCTTTTCATTCCTGATTTTGTAAATTTGCATGTTCTCTCTCTGCCTTTTGGTTAGCTTGGATAAAAGTTTGTCTATCTTGTTGATTTTCTGGAAGGACAAACTCTTTGTTACGTTGATTCTTTGTATTGTTTTCTTTGTTTCAATTTCATTGATTCCAGCCCTCAATTTGATTATTTCCTGGCATGTACTCCTCCATGATGAGTTTGCTTCTTTTTTTTCTAGAGCTTTCAGTTGTGCTGCTAATTCTCTAGTGTGACTATTCTTATCCTGACCATGCCAGTACGTCTAGGACCTGGGCCCTTCTACATCAGTTAGCAATTAAGAAAATGCCCCCCAGAGGCAATTTTTTAGTTGAATTTTCTTCATCCAAAGTATGTCAAGTTGACAACCAAGATTAGCCATCACAATGCAGTTATGAGAAATAAAAAGACATTCCTCATAACTACTTTCTCATTACCATAGATAATGCCAATTAGGAAAAGGTATGTCATTGCACCACCCCTGCTACATATAGACTGTGTGTTTTGAACCTTTATGTAACCTGTTAATATTGTTTGTTCCAAAATACAGCTAGGAAACAGGCAGAAATATTTCTTTAATTCTATGCTCTTGGGCCCAAAGTGCATCTGAGTTTTCTCAGGAAATTAGAAAACTAAAAATTTACAAACTATATGCTTTCTTGTTTAGTTATGGATATATGAAATTTTGCCTTCAAGAGATATAAGAGAGTCTTCACAGAAGTTCACACTACCTGAGCATTATCCATTTATGACAGGACAGAGTAGAAGAGCTGGGAAATTAGAAGCCATGTAGGAGCAGTGGTGACTGACTCTTCATGCAGTGGTAGATGGAAATTGGTGGATAAGTACTTTCATGTTCTCTAGACAAAATCAATATGAGGTGCATGTTGTACATCACAGGTTAGCAACATTTTGGTTAAATTCTTAATAATTTAGTTTGTGTGGTCGACATGGTCTCTTCTGCAATTATTCATTTCAGTGTTCAAAACTGAAGGGAACTACAAACAGTATGGAAATGAATTAACATGGCTGCGCTCCATTAAAAGTATTTGTGAACACTAAAGTTTGAATCTCACTTAATTTTATGTTGCAAAATAGCTCTTTTTTGACATTTGCAAACAGTTACATTCTCAGCTGATGGATTAAAGTTTCCTTCAAAACCTGTTTTATTAAAGTCTTTATCCCTATGGTGGTACTATTGGAAGGTTGTAAGAACTTTAATGAGAGGTTCTTGGGTCATTTTTGACTACAGGGGTGACTGTAGGACCCTAGCCTGAACCCTATCTTTTTGTTTCCTACTTCATGAAGTGTGTCTATTCACTGTGTAATCTCACCTTAATGTATTGCCTTACCAGAGGCCAAGGACAGTGGGAAGATATCATCACAGACTCCAAATCTCTGAAGCGAAATTTAAACTTTTGTCTTTATAAGTTAACTATCATTGTCTCAGATATTTCATTATAGTAACAATTAGCTGACTACTATGACATCGAGTAAGCTGTATACAAACAACCAGGCTGGATTTGAACCACGGATTTAGTTCGACAGCCCTTGTTCCGCACTGTCCCTCAAAATTTCTCTATGGATTCCACAGTTATATCTCGCTGGAACATTTCCCTTACTAGTTTCCTTTTCCTGCTTGTTTAGTTTCCCACCGTATCCAATAAGTGTTCCCTGGAATCAACCCCTCCCCTCCCACACTACCTCTATCCTCCTTCCCCAAACACAGTCCTAGTGCTGGGTCTGAGGTCTGTTTCCCAGAGAACCCAAATTCAGACTCAGTTTAGCTGGTTAATAACCAAGCTGAGTGTTTGTGGGGCTTTGGCATTGTGAAGACCACAGAAAAGGGTCTTGAAATCCTAAAAGTAGGTTCAATTCGTAGTGTAATGGTTTAAAGGATGTATGGGTTAATTTTGATTATTCCAGTCTTCTGAATTGCATCAGAGGCAAAACTGGGAGTGCTAATACCTGCAACGAGCCCAAAGCAGCCATTTCTTCTTCCTGGATGCATCACTCATGCTGAGCTCATCAGCAGTGAGGACAAAACAAGGTTCTTGATAGCAGCAGGTGCTGGTGACTCAGAGTCAGCCGAGCCATGTAACAGTCCACAGGAATCCAGGGGTGTTGGGCGGGATGATAACCATTGCAGCAATCTCTGTAGCCATGGGGATTTAGGAAATGTGTTCCCTTCGCAAAGCTCCCTGCAAATAACCAAAGGACTGAATTATTTCTAGATCAAGAACAGCAGGTGGGTAGACAGGGCATTCATTTTTGGGTCCCATCTCACTCATTTTATGCAGTAATTGCTTTCTCTGCAAATTGAAAAGGCTTTCCTCACCCCGTTCTCTGCTGTTCCAGATGGCTGTACCCTCCCAACCTGGCAGGTTCCTGCCTATTGGCAGTGAGGCTGTGAACTTACTAAGTGCAATGTTTTTCAATCTTCAGGCACAAATGAAGCTGCCCAGATTCTCCGATTAATCAAGGCCTTCTCTGTTGAAACGAGGACTCTGACCTGCGAACTACAAGGAATTCTGAAACTATTTCAAGCTCTAAAATGTTTTACTTATTGCTAAGCGTTTGATTAACCAGACTTAATCTCCTTTAGTTCTATTTGGTATGCAACATGCAACAAAAATATAATTGTAAACATTAAATATATAAAAAGGTGACAATCCCGTACCAGATCTGGATATTTACAAGTTCTCACAAAATCCTTCAAAAATGTGTTTTAATTGTTTTTTTTATTAGCAAGTCTGATCCACTGAGACTCCTTAATTGAGAAGGTAAATCTTAACTCCCTTTCATCATTTTCTCTCTCTTTCAGCTTCCAATGGAAAGAAATTCTCTTTATTAAGATGCAAATTTCAGACTGAGCATCAGTCCCCCCAAAGTAAGCTCTCACTGAGTTCTTTCTGAGCCTAACCCTCTTGAGGGCCTGATTTTCAAATTCAAATACAGGAAGACTATTTGTCAGTGTGGTTTTGGCAGCGTATAATTGCCCCTTGAAGTAAACAAGTTGGCAGTGTTGCAAAAGAGGAAGGGATTCTTATTTAATTTGTATGGGAATTAGGTTCTGCACACAAATCCCTCTGAATGCTAGGGATTCAAATTTTCTGTATGGTTTTTCCAAAGAAAAAGCATCACGAAGCAAGTGAATGCTCTTGGTCACAGGGTCAGGGAAGTGTAGCCATGGCAATAAAAGCCACGGTGCCAGGGAGCAGCCAACCAATGTTCCAGTCTATAAGCATATTGAAATTACTAGTTTAGATTCCACATCCTGCTGGAAAAACATCTTCCTCTTGACCTGTATTTCTCTGGTGCTTTTGGATGTAACAAGACAGGAGTAAGGGGAAGTCTTGCGCAAGCACTGGATGCTCAGATTGTCTTTCTGCCTGTGATAGTCTAGGACCATGTGTTGCAAGCTGAGGTGGAGGAGAACGAAAGGCAGTTTTCCCATCAGTTAGCTGCCAAGCTCTGGCATTCCTTCACCGTGCTGTGTAACTAGAGACAGGAGGTATATTTCATGAGCACATGGGCCACTCACTCACACACACACACACACACACACACACACACACACACACACACACACCTTGTTATAATTTCCCTAAAGGACCATTTTATTAACACATTCCCATCTCTTTTTTGTGGATTTTCTAGAGAGGTTTTCTCTGTGAAGTCCTGGTTGTCCTGGAACTTACTCTGTAGACCAGGCTGGCCTTGATCTAAGGGATCCACATGTTTCTGCCTCCCAAGTGCTGAGATTAAGGGTGTGTACCACCACCACCCAGCAATGATGAAATATTTTCATACATGGATTTATTCTTTGGAAGTAACTTCCTTGTTTTAGTATTATACATATAATTCTGAGATGTATATGGCACCATAACTCCTTAGCTTTTGAATTCAAACAAACTATAATCTTGGTTATAGTTAATAACTTAAAAATGTTTCAAATTAAAAGGAATATACTGTACTAATAATTCCTACTTTACTAGATACAGGTAGAGAGGGGACTAGCAAGGAAATGGACAAAAAGGGCAAACAGCATGATCTATGTGATTGTGTTTAAAGAAAACTACCATTATTTCATTTAACCTGACCTATCTGCCATGAAGGTTCAACATATATGTTAATTCTGTGAAATTATAATCAAATAAACTTATGATCAAGTAAATTCTGTATTTGAGAATATGGGAATGAAATTCATCAGAAAGTTCAGGATTTTATCCATTTGGCCATTGGAGATTTTATGCCATTTCTCCAAGTTCCACTTTGCTTTCGTCACAACATCTGTGCTCTTCCTCTTGGGAGACTAATAACTTCCTTAATGAAATAGGTTTCTATTTATCTAGAAGAAAATGTGTAAAGACACAGAAACATAAAAATCACCACACCATGACAAAGTACAGAAAGGGGGACACTCATAAACAGACCAAAAATTTGGAAAGCAAATTTGGCTATTTTATCATAAGACAGCATGGAGTATAATTAAAAGATCACTACTTTTTCCAGAAAATTATTGTGTAGAAGCAACTTGACAGACAAGGGAACAAAAATAAAATATGAACAAGATTAAAAAATGTACACTGTAACACTGTGAATGTGAAGAATGCTGGAAACAATTTAAATGTTCATTATTAGGCTAAATAAATTATGGTCAAATCACATAATAACATAAATCTTATCAAGAAATCTGATTACATGCCCTGATCATATAGAGGTCTTCAGGATACATATATATCATATAAATAGGCATATAATATATGCATATGCCTTTTTTACAATGAGAAATGAACAGGCACTTTTGTTGGCAGAGAAGAAAATTCAATTTACACTTCATAATCTTCTGAGCTGCTTGTATTTGCTCTTTGGGAATGACAATAATAAGGATAATAAGAAAATAAAAACCAAAAGAGGAGAAAGGAAAAGCAAATTGTTATGATTTTGTCCTACTGTTTCTTCTGAACGGGAGCTATGCTGCTTTAGAAGAGGTCAACTCTCCATTCCTTGATGCACCCTCAATATTTGTGCCCATGCTTAGATTATCTGGACTCATCATCATGATCTTTGTACTCTGAGTCAATGTAAAGAGCTCATAGAACTTCTCATGGGACACATGGTTCATACATTTGTATCCAAATCCCACACCCCTATCAGAGGTATCTAGATGAGAAGGCACTTCATTTATCCATTTCAATCTTCATGGTTTTTTTCCAAGTGTAAGATTATCAAGGCCTGATGAATGAGTCAGGATTCACCCCTGACACAGGAACCTCTCTCAAAAATATATATAAACCAAGACTGTAGCTCCTACTCATCCTTAACAGAATTGTAAATCTTTTCACATGGCTTCCAAGAGAAGATCTCCTGCATTCCCAGTTTCCCAGTTGTCTTAGCTGCTCTCCTCTGGGCTTTATCCAGCTCCACTATAAGTTTTTTGAGAGATTTCAGAATCAGAATTACAAATAACTTTCTCCCCATGGTCATGCAAAGATATTTTTTTGCTTTTGTTTTTGTTTTCCAAACAGGGTTTCTCTGTAGTTTTGGAGCCTATCCTGGAACTCATTCTGTAGACCATGCTGGCCTCGAACTCACAGAGATCCATCTGCCTCTGCCTCCCGAGTGCTAGGATTAAAGGTGTGCGCCAGCACCACCTAGCTTGTGCAAGGATTTTATCCAGTGTTCTGTTCTGTATCTGTTACCTTTGGTGTTGACAAATCCCACTATGTGTCAGGTATAGAAACTAGTTATCAAACCCCATTTGACCATTCTTTGCCTTCTGTAAGAAATAAAAACCTCCAGCTGAAAGTGGAAGCTGTTCAGAAGTTTCCAAATCATAGAATCCCAAAGTAGACCTGAAAGTGTCATTAGATATTACCTTGTGCAAACTCTCATTTTATTAATTGGGCAAACTAAATCCCAGAGATCTTAAACAAGAAATCCAAATTTAAAACCCCAAATTCCAGATTGGGAGAGGGGGTTGTAGGGAGTGAAAGAAAGGGATAAATAATATAATCTCAAAAAATAAATAATTTTAAAATCCAGAATTTCATGTCTGACCTCTTGTTCTGCATGTGTGTGCAGGACATATATTCAAAAATATTTCATAGCTATATATAGCAACAGTTAGTAATCCACTCAAGTATTGGGGCAGGGTCCTAAGGAAAGTCATGACATGGTAAAGTGTAGCTATTTACTTGCTAAGTCAAGGAGTAGCTTCTGAGATCCTGAGACAAGGGCCTGTGTTTTTTCAGTTGCTGTTGAAGGATTTATAGAGCTCAAAATAATACCTTTTGATCAGCCAATATAGGTATTTCAATATATTAGTAACAGTCATCTACATGGTGTCCTGGGTATGTAGCAGTGTGTCTGTAGAGTGCTTTGGTTTAATTTATATAAAATTTAGGTATGGTTTATTTGTATTTGTATGTTTTCATGTGAGAAGACTCAGAGTTCCTGGAAAAAATGATATTTTAAATCTTTCAAAATGTAGGCATCATAAAAGTGACTTTTAGGTGCTCCAAAAGCAACACAGAGTAAACCCAGAATCTGTCTCCTACATCCCATGGCATCAGTGCAATGTAGACTTTTAATATCAGTCATAAAAATGAAATATTTCAATTGCAAAATAGATGCATCTACACAGCATCTGTGAGCACTCTAAAAATGCATGAGCTGCTGCTCATCATCTTCAAGAAAAGGGAGCCACAGTAATACTCTGCTCTGCACAGCAGGTTTGTAATTGGGATTAGTGCAGTCTAAAAGCAGCTAAGTAGCCCTTGTCAGGAAGACTAGCAGGAGACTGCTTGATGGAAGCCATTTTGGATAAGTTACCTAATCAACACAATTCCTCCTTTCTCAAAGAAGGGAAATAAGGAATACCAAATTACCAAGTGGCAGGAGTGTGTGTGTGTGTGTGAGAGAGAGAGAGATAGAGAGAGACAGAGACAGAGACAGAGACAGAGAGTGTAGTAAAAGGATTCTTTGTGCTCTTGTGCTGTTTCCTTCTTTCCATTTTCTCAGGAGGTAGTCCATGAGACAAAGCATATGTGAAAGCTAAATACTAGGATGTACAGAAATGTTCCACCCCCTTCTTTACCCCAAACCAAAACATCTCTTTCACAGCTGGAAATCACAACATTTAGTCCTGCCTTTGAGAGGCCCCAGATAAAGCAAAGTTATTACTGTAAAACCTCAAGTACTTATATCCTTTTTTCCCATGAAAAATGAAGTTTAGTGTGTCACAAAATTTTATTTTCTTGTCTGTTTTTAACAAGTCTTTCAAAAATATCAAGTGAATTGACTGTCGATTTCCAAAGAAAAATCTTTTTGAAAATTAAACAGACTACATAGAGGCATAGGATGGATTCAAAAGAATAATTGTCAGATGTATTAATGAATTAAAAGATTAACTTTTTGCATTGCTTAAATATCAATAAAGCTGTTTAAATCATTTCTCCAAACTTAAATATATGAACTAGAGGCTTCTGATGTCACATGTCACATTCTGTCTGCATCAGAGTTCAGTCTAAAAACAAAATCATTACACACACACACACACACACACACACACACACACACACAAATGCGTGAATGGACAGGGTATTTGACTTCATGTGTATTTGTGAAAGCTAGTAAAAAAAATCTGGTAAGGTTATTGTCTTTGCCTATGTTCCTGATTAAAGGCCTCAGCACAGAGGGTAGAGGTAGGGAAGGGGAATATGCATTGAGGCAAGGCAAGAGTGTGATGCAGTCAAGGACAGCTGAAACTCACCGTACTAGTAGAAGCAAGGGAGTCTTCTAACCCTATACACCCAACCTAGGAGTGGAAGCAGCTCAAAAGGAGTCAGGAACACGAGAGCTCTTTGCACCCAATTAGGTCTCACTCCAACTGAGTCAGCAGACCAGTGATGAGGATTGTACACTATGTTCCATCATGGCTATTCTTTTGCCAACTTTCCAAATCTCATCTAAGAACCTCTCTTGTGGTTAACCTAGCCGTGTGTGTGTGTGTAAAACGTCTGGAAAATATGCTCAGACTCCAAGACTCCAAGTTAACACTTTACAAAGGCATCACAGTAATGTCACTGTATTTTAGGAAAGGGAGAGATACATTAACACATTGCTGAGAATTAAATCCTAAAAAGTGGGATTAACACACTTGTCTGTCTTGTGAAGAAGAGGACAGGGTGCTACAAGAAGACATTAGAAAGCACTGAAGTGTTGTGGCGTTGTTACTGCAATATGTTTCTCTTACATTGCAGTGTTAGTATTCCTATATCAAGAGATGAGGCCTATGTTCACTTCCCCAAAATCAGGACAGGACTGTAACTCTGAGAGACGTGACACTGCATACCTTCTGAGCTAGGATACAGATAATGCATATCCAGTGGGCTCCTGCTTTCATTCTGGAAAGTCTCAACATTATATTGCTCCTTATATTACAAGGAAACTCAGCCTAGTAGGGCTAATCTGTCTGTATGAGCTATCTAATATATCTATCTAGCTAAGATCTTACTATTAGCTAATGAATCTGTATCAGTCCCTGCAACTGATGTTAAATGGAGCACAGAAAGAAAAGAGCTCACAAAGTCTTACCCAAATAACAAACATGAATACAATTGTTTCCATTACTTCATGTCACCAAGTTTAGGGAGTATTTGTTATACAACTAGAATAACTGAGACAGTCAGCTTTCCAGATTAATAAATGCAATATAATGATAGGTATATATTGTTTTCTTAAAGTATACATAATTATCTGTCATTTTAATCAACTTTTATGCAAGTAATTATTTTCTTAAAGACTTATTTTAGTTTTAATTATGTGTATGTGTGTGTGTCTGTGTGAGAATATGTCCACATGTGTGCAGGTGCAACAAAAGGCAGCATTCCCTGGACCCCTGGAGTTAGTTATATGTGGTTTGGGCTACCAGACTTGGGTGCTGGGAACAGGATTTGGGTCTTCTATAACCGACATGCTCTTAACCCTGAAGCCATTTCTCCAGTCTCAAAAAATAGTATTTTCTTAATTTTGATCCTAGAGATAGTTATACATTTGTATACAGTTGTAAAAGGTAATGCACAGTTCCCATGCAATCTTTGCCTAACTTCTCTCATCATACATTTGCCACTAATTATAGCAAAGTGTCACATATATGAAATTTTCATTGAT